GACTGACAAGTAATTGCGTTCTCCAAACGTTATCCAAACTGTAGATTCAAAGTCCAGAAAAACACGACGTGTTCGAGAGAGACATATAATAAAAAGACAAAAACAAATGGAAAAGATACCAACCGGATCTGTACCACAACAAAGTATTCATTTTCAGAAGCCGCTTGTAAAGTTTTAATTCAAATACATCTCAATATGTTCTCCTCTACTTTGTGATATACCCGTGAATTACTCTTAACCAAAGTGTCTAAACCAGTAAGTGTAATATCACTGATATCTCAGTCTCTTACGTCAAAAGAAAACTGTATACAAACTGTGTTAATTACCCAATGATAGCTCCTTAACGAGTTCCTGTTTCACTTCATGTTGAGGACATTTTTCTGGTTTAGGTGCAGGCTGCACCTGAAGAAAAAAACGCGTTAAATCTGCCATCATAAACGCTGAAATTGTATAATGCTTCACTGATACTTTTAAAAGTAGAGAAATCGACCCTCTGGACCACTTGCCCGCGTTTCCCGCCCTCAGCCGGTTGAATGTCTTTTGTACTTCGAGTTCTTATTGGCTTCTATTGGATTTCCTTTGATTCTGTTTGGTCGTTGTGATAACTTAAGATTTGGTTTCACGACAGCGAACCACTATCGCTCTAAATGAAGAACTCACCATAAGTTCTCGCATTTTTTCACCTCTGTGATAAAATTCTTGGAAAAGAAACCAAAAACACGAAGCACCCACGTTATGATGACAGCATTTCCACACCTCTAGCACTTTGTTACATCAGACTCTTAAACCCTTTCAATTTCAAGGTTTCATTCTTCTTACTGCATGTCATACAATTCTCGTGATGTTAGTTGGGAAAACCAGGTATCAGATCGACTTATAATTCCATAACTGATACTGGTCTTTTTCTATATTCTCATTACTTAACTACTTAACATTGTATTAATATTCTAGGGAGAAATTTTGTCTTGGTCACCTATGAGAATTAAAGGGTTAATATTTTGATATAATAGTATTTAATGTTTTGTTTCGCCCTAAGCTATTCTTAAATTGTTCAGTTTATCATCATAAGTCACTCACCGACGTTTCCGCTCTGTTACCAGATTTTACAGCAGATGTTTCTTTTGGAGTGGGTGCATGAAAGCTCGTTTGTCTAACAGGTTTAACTGGTTTGGGCTGGATAGATTTAGAAGGTTTGACCGGTTTCTGCTCCAGGATTTTTGTGCGTTCCCTTCCGTGTCTTGAACACACATGTAAAGTACTTCTGCTTTCTTGATGTATTGGAGGTGCCAGCACATGGCCAGCGTCTGTGCAAGGATTCGAGAAAAGAGAATATGATCACTGCCTACTCTTCTCTTATCTTTCACACACTGCTGGGTCATGCAGTCTTAGGAGAGACTTGCCGGGAATATTAAACTGTCAGGACAGCAACGCTGAAGACGAAATCGCTTTAAAAACGAATTTATATTTTTGGTTAGAATTTTGCGAATAGTTGGACGTGTTTACCGTCTTTTGCGCCGCCCTACCCGGCTATACATCAGAAAAACGCATGTGAGCTTTGGGTCCCAATTGGAAACTTAAATAATTTGCTATCGCGGTTTCTGTTATCAAACCACACAAATTTTGGTAACTGCACGTTGTTGTTTTGCAGAAGAAGGCTAAGAAATGTACATATTTTTAAAACGCACGTGGTGAGCTATTGTTCTGCTCATTAGATCTCATTAGAGGATGGGAAGGAAAGAGACAGTGAGAGGAGAGTCTTTCCTTTTTCTTTCTACCCATCTGAACCCCTCCCCCTCTCCCCGCGCACTTCTTGCGTGCATTCCTTGTCAGCTCTTTTTTTGGAGGGAGTAGGAAGGTACCAGCTTCTGTGGTAACTTTTCGACCAGTCAAAGTTACAGTGTATCTATTGAAACTGGGCCACCCGGAAAGAGGACCATTTACCGCTTTTTTTAAATTTAACAGAGACACTCTTTGACAAAGGTTTTGCTTCGGTAGGAAATGAATGCAACATACATATCATTAATTTGTACCCCTACAACTCTTGGACCTCATCAGAACTTGACGTTCAACCAACGATCCGTGATCACTTAAATATGACCGATCAACGAACATTGTGTTGAGATTTCATAGTTTTGTGCCATACAATTGATCAGCTGGAGTTGAAAGTGTTGCAGTCTATTGTTTAAGTTTTGCCCTGTGATTGATTCTCGTTGTCTCTGAGGCCTCATGTTCAAAAGGTACTCAGTAATATTGCTAGCTCGTGTCACCAACACCTGGGTTGCCTATTTGACAAGAGAGCTTCTACAGAATGACTGGGTGGGGAAGGGAGACCTATTTGGTGGGGAAGGGGGACTTATTTAATGGGGAAAGGGGGGCCTATTTGGTGGGAGAGGGGGGC